AAAAAAAAAAAAATGAACAGAAAAAGCAGTAAATACACGAGATAGAAGGCTGGAGATTGTAGCGGAGATAAAAGAGCGCGTAGAAAATACGTAGTTGAGCAAAAATCACATACAGGGGGAGAGTAAACAAATTGAATAATAAGGCTAGCTGTGGGTTTCTGTTCCCGAATTTTAATGTTGTGGGGAAACGTTTAACAGGAGGCTTTGGACATTTTTGCCAGGGGCAATGGCATGGCAGACGAGGGTGTTCCTATAAAAAGATTAAAATAGCCGATGAGACACCACTTTATATTATCAAACTATAAAAAGACCGCGAAAATGTGGAGTATGTGTGTGAGAGTGTGTGTCCAAGTCTCTCTCTCTATCTCCTCCCTCCCTCTATCTCTCTCTCTCTGTCAGTCTGTCGTCTCTCTCTCTCTCTCTCTCTCTCTCTCTCTCTCTCTCTCTCTCTCTCTCTCTCTCTCTCTCTCCCTCTCTCCCTCTTTCTGTCTGTCTGCCTCTCTGTCTGTCTGTCCGTCACCCTCCGTCTCCCTATCCCTTTCCACAATGAAACCTCACCCCAGCTGCCACATATGCTTTCGCCATCAGGTGTACCACAACTCGATTGGTGTGCTTGAGGACGGCCAGTATTGCTACGTGGGCCCCAATCGCGTCTTCCGCACCATCTCGGAGCTCGTGGCGTTTTACACCGCCATCACCAACGCCCCGCACCTCAAGCTGACAAAGGCAGCCCCAGTTACACAGCACCCTTGACACTGCGCGTGCGAATGGGTGTTTACTTCGACATGCTCTTCCTTCTGCCTGTGTTTCTGTTTTTTTTTTTTTTTTTTGGTCCGATGGCCTCTCGCGCATACTGGCACACACACACACACAGATACACACAGATACACACACACACACTCGCTCTACATCACCCTTGAATCGTAACAGCTGGCCTGTTCTAGATTCCTCTTGCTGCGATGCATGCCTGACACATGGCGTATGTTTATTTCTTTGCTCGCTTGCTTGCCCTGTTCTTGCCTCCTCCTTCCTTCCTTCCCTTCCCTGCGTGCTTCTGTCTTTACGCGTGTGCATTGACTGCTGCTTCATCTGCAGCCAGGCATGCACCAGCGAAGCCCCTGGCCTGTAAACAACATGTCTTTGTTCATCGTTTCATTGGTCCATACGCGCGCGAGCACGCATGCAAGCATGGGGGAAAGACAGCACGGCAAAGAGCAAACAAGTTGAGACCAGCACGGCAAATCAAATCAATAATCCAATCCACCAGCCTACCGGCATTCAAACAAAGCAGGCACAAACACACAGCCCGACCAAACGCACACAGACACATGCGCACGTTGACTACAGTGGTGGCTGCACGACTGCAAGCAAAGCAGCGGCAGCCAACACAGTTTCGATACAAGGGGCAGCAACACAGTTTCGATACAAGGGGCAGCAACACAGGAGAGAAGGAGTGGCCAAAGGCAAGAGGCAAAAGATGTGGAGAGAAGCTACAGCTACAAGACAAACGCCAGACATGTCAGGATGTGGCATGAAAAAGCCGCGAAGCACACGAAACAGGCAAGCAAGCAGAGCACACGGTTGTCTACACAGCCCTTTCTGTGCATTTGTTAAGGACAATCAACGAGTACAGCAATGGTCACACGGCCAAGCCAATGCACCACACACACAGACACGCACACACACACACGCCGCGCATACACACACGCATACACACACACACACACACACGCACACACACAGACATCGTCGTCAGTGCGAGATTGCGTCTAGTCGAGCACGAGGCCTCGCGTCTCCTTTGGAATGAGATAGGACGCCAGCGCCGCAACGCCGTTCATCGCCCCGAACAGAATCAAACGCACGTGAAACGCGATTGCAGAGGCGTCGCCCCAATACGGCGCCGAAAACGCGCCCACACGCGCCATGGCATTGCACCAGCTGTGGCCAGCAGCGCGCACGTGCGTGGAGTACAGCTCAGGCGTCATGACCCACGTCACGCTCGTGCCAATCAGGATGCTTGCACGGCACACCATGACCATGAACACACCAAGGGCGCGCGGCACAGGGATGGTGAGCAGCACCATGAAAATGCCGCTGACAAGATAGCCCGTCCCCGATATGATCTTGCGCCCAACACGCTCGATGATGAGGAAGGCCAGGATGCACCCAATCACCTCCGCTGCGCCCGTTGTGAACAGCGCCGGGTAGTCAAAGTCCTTGCTGCCGCCGCCCGTGTGCGTGCCGTTGGGCTGGTGCGGGTGGATGGTGCTGTTGTCATGCGACGTGGAGTTGCCGCCCTGGCTCGCGAAGAACTCGGGCGCAATGATCACCGTGCCTGCAGGCAACGCGACAAAATGGCATGACAGTCGCAGCATGAAGAGGACGGTGTTGGTTATTGTTGTTGTTGTGTGATTGTGTTGCATGTGGTGATTGTTTTGAAGGTGATGGAGTTGGGGGAGGGGGTGAGGGGGAGGCGGATAATGCACAAACGCTTGGACAAAACGCGGCATGGGCGGGCAGAGCAGCAAGAACGACAAAGCAGAAGCAACAGCATGGCGTAGAGGGCACACGAAAACGTCACAAACAGAAGCGACGCAGCGAAGCAGCACCAAGAGCAGCATACAGCAGCAGCAGCAGCAGGAGCAGCATGGACGAACCGTAGTACGTGAAGCCGGAGGTGGCCCAGACGGCCCACAGCATGATGGTGGTCATGCGGTTGTTCTTGTCGAACAGCATGAGCGGTGACACCTCGCTGCCTGTCGGCATATCGTCACCGCCAGCGTCGCCAGTTTCTGTAAGCAGGGCTGTGGAGTCTGCAATCTCGTACGTCTTGCCGTCCTCAGGCTGTGGCTCGTGGGAGAGCACAAGACGCGTGTGCGCGGGGAGAGCATCTGGCCTCTTGTTGAGCTTTGCGGCCTTATGCAGCACCTTCAGGGCTTCATCTGGTCGGTTCATCAGCAGCAGCCAGTGGGGCGACTCGGGGAGGAAGGGGAACGAGATCATCGCAATGGTGACGGGAACAGAGCAGAAGCCAACGAGGTAGCGCCAGCCAAGGTCATCAAGCATAATCCACGCAAGCCCGTTCACAAACAGCGTCCCAAACGTCCTGATGATGTGTGATGCGATGTGACGTGGCATTGCAGATGGTTGGGTGGGAAGTGAAGTGAGCAGACAGGAAGAGATATTCCAAAGATGGGGCAAGGCAGCCAAACAAGGATACGCACACACACAAGGGGCAAACTAGCACGCTCATTCTCACTGACACAGAGAGAGAGAGAGAGAGAGAGAGAGAGAGAGAGAGAGAGAGAGAGAGAGAGAGAGAGAGAGAGAGACGTATTCACACACACACATCCCTTCCCTCTCTATCAGTCCGTGATTGAGCGCGTGAACGTACCAGAAAAACTCAATGCCAAGCAAGGCCTTTCCGCGGATGCTTGGGGGCATAAACTCTGCCAGGAGATCAAAGGGAACGCCCATCCCGCCAATGCCAACGCCAACAATGAAGCGAAGCGTCACCAGCATGTAGTAGTCCACGGAGAACGCGCTGTGATGGTGGGCGGGCGGATAGGGAACAACGCAGCAGGAGCGGTGGTGGCAACGCAAGCAGTCAAGGTGGCCATGCCATGTGCACACAGCAAAGGGAAGAACCAAGAGGTGAGCAAGTGAAACAAGGCAGCAACGAGGGGGAATCTAAGAAGGGATAAAGATCACACACGGACATGGTGTGGTTGTTTGTGGTGCTCCAATTTGCGGATGCTATCTTGTGGTGTGTGTGCGACTCTGTGTGTTTGAAAACGAACAGTTCCCTCGAGCGACCGCGGCAAGCTTGGCTCTTGTGCATATATGCAATCACAATCTGGTGATGCACAGACACTTGAGGCGGGGGCTTGCTTGGCTTGGCTTGGATCTTCTTCCTTCACCCTGTTGTCGCCACCCCGCCCCCCCCCCAAAAAAACCAAACACCGTACTTCTCTCACTCTCACTCTCGCGCAGCTTCCACACCCCATCGTCAGCACCAGCCCTCTCCTCCATCCACAAACAAACGCGTGCAATCAAGGGTTAACAATCTTCCACCATCGCTTGCTCACTCACTTGTGTGAGGTGGAGGCGTGTGTGTGTGTGTGTGTGTTTGTGTGTTTGTGTGTGTGTGTGTGTGTGTGTGTGTGTGTGATGTAGTGTGGATCTCGACTCTATGCCATCATCCAACTTGCTCCCCAACTTCACCTGCCCCGAACCGCGACCCCACATATCCTCTTTCCACCCCGCCCCTCTCCTTGCCCAAGTGAGTGGTGTGAAGTGCGTGTGGCCTGTACCTTGACAAGCCGGCGACGGTGACCAAAAGCGCGGGAAAGAATGAGCCTCGCTTTCGTCCACACCGGTCTGCAAACGGACCCCAGAACACGGCCCCCAACAGCTCGCCCGCAAACACTACCGCCGTCAGCGTGGACTCCTGCACATCTGTGAGGTTGAAATCCTTCTTTGCCTCCACTTGCAAGAACGTCAACAAGCCAACCTCTGCACAGAGAGAGCAAGTGTGACGGGCAGAGAGGGAGAGAACAGAGCGAGACAGGGAGAGAGTGCGTTGTGTGAGTGCGTGTGAGTGAGTGCGTGCATGCGTGAGTGCGTGCGTGTTTGTGTAAATGTGAGTGCGTGAGGAGCAAACGAGAGAAAGAGGCAGGAACAGAGACGCGCTCAGAATTGACTCCATGCGTGGCTACTGCACAAGCATGTTCTTTAACGGCGGCTGTGGCTGCGTGTGTCGCACACCAAGCTCCCTCGCTCGTCCCCTCCACACACGCTGAGCACCGAAAGACACCGTGGGGGCGCCCTCTTACCGATGCTGTCAGTGCAAAAGCAAAGACCACAGATGATGATGACCCGGATCTGCTGCCATCCATAGCCGATGCGTTCAAAGGCCTCGTGGATGGTCATCACCTTTGGCGCATCAGCAGGCACCAGGAGTGGGTTTATGCAAACAACGCGCGTGGACAGGTGAACATGTGAGGAATTGAGGCGCGCGGAGATGATGCTGATTGCACTCAAGCCAAGTGCGCAACCAAAACATCAGCTGCACCGATACAAACATGATGTGAACACAACCACACACCCATGCACATAAGTTGTACGCACACATGCACACACACGTGCACACACACACGTGCACACACACGTGCACACACACGTGCACACACACATGCACATGCACACACACACACACATGCACACACACAGGGGCTGCATCTTCGTCGTTGTTGGGTGTGATGCTGAAATCAGCCTTGTCTGTGTCCGCGCCGTCGTTGCCTTTGCCGTTGACAACAAGGTCTGGGGATTCCTGATACCGCGGTGGGGCATCCGAGTTAACGCTCAGCCTGTCAGATTGGCTGGCCAACAGGGCTTCCTGATCATCCTGGGTAACACCGCCGCCACCTTTACCGTTCCTCCCCTTGCCTTTCTTCCCCATCCTTCCGTGAGTGCGTGTGGTGGTGGTGATGTGAGTGCGTGTAGCTGGCTCTGGCGATGTCTGGTCGCCTTGCTTTGCGGGGTTGTGGCTCGCACGTTTTTCCTCCCTTCTCCTCCAAACAACACAAACAAACGAAGAAAAAAATAATGTGTATTTTCAAGCGATTCGATGGTTGACTAAGGGCATGGTGCGTGGTGTTTGTCTACAATACAAGCAAGGCAAGCGGAGGTGGTCGTGGACAGCCAGCAAGAAGAACACTCTCTGCTGATACACACACACATGCACACACATGCACACACACGCGTGTACATGGAACCAAAACAAACGGGGATGGTGGTTGCTTAACATAAAGCGCACAACTGTCACACACGACAATCGCACGCGCCCAACACATACAATCATGTCATTCGCACGCCTACACCACCAAAACAACAGGTAGACAGGCAGGCCTGGCAGGCAGGTTGGTTGGTTGCTTATGGCACTCACATCCTCTAATCGAGGATCATGCCACGCGTCTCCCGGGGCAGGAAGAACGACCCGAGCGAAGCCAGCACGCTCACGAGACCGTACAGCAGAAGACGCAGCGCAATGGGCACGGCGCGCGCATCGCCCCAATATGGCGTGGCAAACGCCGCCAGCCGTGCCATGCCGTTGCTCCACGAGTGGCCCGCCGCGCGCACATATGTGGCGTACAGCTCCGGGGTCACCACCCACGTCACACACGAGCCAATGAAGATGCTCATGCGCGCAAACACCAGCAGCAGCACGCCGAGGCCGCGCGGCACCTTGATCATCATCAGCATCATCGCCACACCGCTGGCGAGGTAGCTGATGCCCGCGAGCGGCCTGCGGTTGAAGCGCTCAACCAACAGAAACGCAACAATGGCGCCAAGCACCTCCGCTGCGCCCGTCGTAAACAGCGCCGGGTAGTCAAAGTTGCTGTCGTTGTTGATGTGTGTTCCGTTCCCGCCCGTGGCATTGCCGCTGGTGCCGTTGTTGGCAGTGCTGTTCGCACTACCGCCGCTTCCGCCCTCAAAGAACTCGGGCGCAATGATCACCGTGCCTGCAGGCAACAAAACATGGCCAAGCCACGAGATGCAGGAGAAGGGGGGGGGATTGGAGGGATGTGGGTGAGGGAGAGGGTTGGTATTGGCGCGCGAGTGAATGAAGTGTGTGTGTATGTGTGTGTGTGTGTGTGTGTGTGTGTGTGCGTGTATGTGTGTGTGTGTGCGTGGAGAAGAATGGTGAGGTTCAATGGTTCACAGCTCTCGTGCTGGCGAGTTTGCGAATGTGCGCAAGCACCACGCACGTGTGCAAACACACACGCGCACGCGCGCACGCACACACACACACACACGCGCAAGCACACGCACACGCACACGCACACGCACACGCACACGCACACGCACACGCACACGCACACGCACACGCACACACACGCAATTACCCTTCCCACAAACAGCCAACCAACACACACTGACCGTAGTAAGTAAAGCCAAAGCTGGCCCACGCAATCCAGAGGGTGATGGTGGCCATGCGGTTGTTCTTGTCAAACAGCATGAGCGGTGACACCTCGCTGGCCGTGGGAACATCCTCCACCGTGCCGGGGAGCAGGGCTGTGGAGTCTGCAATTTCGTATGTCTTGCCGTCCTCAGGCTGTGGCTCGTGGGAGAGCACAAGACGCATGCGTGCAGGCAACGCGTCTTGGCGCTTGTTGATCTTGGCGGCCTTGCGGATGGTCTCCAGGGCCTCGTCGTGACGGTTCATCATCAGCAGCCAGTGGGGCGACTCGGGGAGGAAGGGGAACGACAGCATGGCCAGGGCAACTGGCACGGAGCAGAAGCCAACGAGGTAGCGCCAGCCAAGGTCATCAAGCATGATCCACGCAAGCCCGTTCACAAACAGCGTGCCAAACGTCCTGTTGAACATTGATGTGGTACAGGGGAGTTGTGTGGTGCGCATGTCGTGCAAGTGACGTGTGCATGTTGTCTTTGTGAGTGTGTTGCGGCGTTGGTCACTTCAACGAAGCCATGCGGTCCATACATACATATACACGCGTGGTCCATGCATATACGTACACAGACACACACATACACATACATACACAAAGTGGCGCGCTCATTCTCACTGACACAGACGAACCCCCCCCCCCACACACACACATACACACACACCAGAAGAATTCGATGCTGATGAGGGCCTTTCCGCGGATGCTTGGGGGCATAAACTCTGCCAGGAGATCAAAGGGAACGCCCATCCCGCCAATGCCAACGCCAACAATGAAGCGAAGCGTCACCAGCATGTAGTAGTCCACGGAGAACGCGCTGTGATGGTGGCGGGAGGGAACAACAATAGGGAGGATGAAATAGAGAGGAAACCAAGGTGAGCCATTGCGAAGAGGCAGTGACAGCCAGCAGGCGGGTGGTGGAGGAGGTGCTTTGTTGTTGGTGGTGATTGTGGCCCCCGCTGGCTGCCGCGATCAAGAAAAGGCAACTGCTCAGGCATGAGAACGAAGGCGCACACACGCAATCGTGTGGTAGACGCGCACTATGGCAATATGCGGTGCACAGGAAACAACACACACACACAGAGTTCACCCGCACCTCCCCTTCTCTCACCCTCACTCTCACTCTCTCCTCTACTCAGACACGCACACACACACACACTCAGACACGCACACACACAGAAGCAGAGCCGCATGCGAGCGCTGTAAGAGCTGCTGCATGTTCACGCACAACACGTGGGGCTTGGCTTGTCGGCGCACTTGCAAACACATGCTTCTCTTCTTGACCTTGCTAAGCCGGCGACGGTGACCAAAAGCGCGGGAAAGAATGAGCCTCGCTTTCGTCCACACCGGTCTGCAAACGGACCCCAGAACACGGCCCCCAACAGCTCGCCCGCAAACACTACCGCCGTCAGCGTCGACTCCTCCACGTCCGTCAAATCAAAGTAGTTGCGCGCCTCCACCTGCAAGAACGTCAACAAGCCAACCTCTGCAAATTGTGTGGGCGTGTGTGTGTGTGTGTATGTGAGCGTGTATGTGTGTGTGTGAGCGTGTGTGTGTGCATGTGTGTGACCGTGTTTGTGCAAATGTGTGTTGGTGTGTCATAAACACACGCGCTGGGTCCCCCCCCCAAATTCCATTGCACATTCGCACTTGACACGGCATGTGCTGCGCACCGATGCTGTCTGTGCAGAAGCACAGGCCGCAGATCAGGAGGACCCGCAGCTGCTGCCGTCCATACCCAATCTTGTCAATGGCCTCAGGCAGGCTCACAATCTGCGGTGTGGAAGGGGGCAACCAGCGCAACCAATGCGGGTATGATGTGATGTGATGTGATGTGAGATGATGTGGTGTGATGGGGTGATGGGGTGATGGGGTGATTCGATGCGACGTGGCGTGCACCACACAACGATGCAAACCCACGCAGTGCATTGTTGCGATGTGAGAGAGCGGTCATGTTAGTCACGACATTGCACGGCATTGCACACACACACACACACACACACACACACACACACACACACACACACACACACACACACACACAGATGGCCAAAAGCACATGTGACGTCACAGGACATCATGCCATCTGTGGAAGTGCGTGAGAGTCGCGATCAGGAGTAAAACGGACCGTTTCGCCATCATCATTGAAGCGACCCGCAGACAGGTCCTGTGCAAGCTTGATGGTGGGATCGTCCATGTCAAACACTGGCCGTGATTCGTCCTCATCGTCGCTGTCGCCAAACGTGGCGCCGGGTTTCGCGTGGTTCATTATGTGCTTGCCATTGCCGTTCCCGTTGAGCCCGTCATTGGTGGGCTTGCCGTTTCCCGTCTTGTGTTCATTGAGGGCGCCATTGGCGGCTCTGGTGCTGCTGCTGGTGCTGTCACTTCTGGTGCTGCTGCTGGGACTGCTGCTGCTTCCGTTGTTGTTGTTGTTGCTGCTGCTGTCGCCGCTTCCGCTGCTGCTGTTGTTGTTTACGATGTGGTCCTCGCTCTCACCGACTGGGGCATCTGTGAGCGTGATGTGTGTTGGTGCGCGCTGCTCTGCATCGTGGTCGCCAAGATCATCACCATCATTGTCGCCGTCGTCTTCGTCAATGCGGGTATCTTGGATGTCGGGCGAGGTTGGCCCTTGCTCGGGCGTTTGATTGTCCAACAAAGACACCTGTTCCATCGCCGACCCCACTTGCTGTTCTTCTGTTCTTCTGCTACCTGCTTGCCGTTCCTTTGCCGACTCTCGCAACAAAACCAGCAAAAAGGAAGCAAGCAACGCAAAGGCGTGTGCTTGTGTGTGTACTTGTGTGTGAGAGAGAGGGGTGAGAGAGCAAGACGGGGTGAAGGGAGAGAGAGAAGGGTGTGTGTGTGTATGTGTGAGTGTGTGTTGGTTGGTGAGTGTGAGGAGGTGTGGGTGGGGAAGCTGTGTGGACGAAGAAGAATGCGTTTGCTGCTCTGGAGAGGACAACGAAAAGCACCTTTGAGGTTCACACCAGGGATTGGCGAATTTGCATAGAATCGTCAACAACGGATATGGTGGGTGTCATCGCGACAACACTGTGCAGCATGTGTCTGTCGCGCACGTGTAGTGGTGGACGGCGCTTGCTGTTGCCAACTCGGAGGAGCACAGCAGCTGTTGCGGCAGCTTTTACAGCAACAGCAGTCACGGCAGCAACGCCGATCGCAGCGCTGCACCAGACTCTTCGCACCTACACCAAGAGGGCCAACAAGGTGCGTATGTGTGTGCGTGTGTGCGTGTGTGGAATGCATTTGCGTGTTTGTGAGTGTGTGCGTGCGTGTTTACGTGTTTGTGCTTGTGTGCGTGCGTTTGCGTGTTTGAACAGCCTTCTACACGCGGCTGTGATGCACACTACTCTCATGCACACTACTCTCGTGCATACGGCTTGTGATTTCAACTGCAGGAGAAAGGATTTGTGGATCTGAGGCGCGTCTTCGTGCGTGGTGGTGAGTAAGGCTGGAAAGGTGTTTCGGTAACGTTGCGCGGGATGCCACATGCAATCTGTACAAGCACATGCATACTCACAAGTACACGCACACACACACGTATTCACACGTACTCACGCTTGCGATTACAACTCTATTTCATAGGCAAAGGCGGGCTTGGGTGTTTTTCGTATGAGAACCTGGGCTACAAACGAAAAAGGTGAAGCTGCATGTGCACTTGCATGCGCAGTTGCGTGCGTGTGAATCTGTAGTTGCGTGTACCATTTCTCCTAACGACAGCCATTCACGCACGCACACGCACACGCACACGCACACATACACGCATATACACACACATATATACACAAACATGCACACGCGCACGCACAGGCGACCTGACGGTGCAGACGGAGGGCGTGGTGGAAGCGTGAATCTGACAGTGGATGAAACCGTGGGATCACTGGAGCACATCCCAGCTACCATATCTGGAATCACTGGTGGCCAGGGCTCCAGCAACAACAAGCTCGGCGCAAACGCAAAACCCAGAACCATCAAGGTTCCAGCTGGGACCATTGTCTACGACGAGGACGGCAAGGTGTGTGTGTGTGTGTGTGTGTGTGTGTGTGTGTGTGTGTGTGTGTGTGTGTGTGTGTGTGTGTGTGTGTGTGTGTGTGTGTGTGTGTGTGCAAGCGTCTATGCTATGCAAGTGTGTGTTTGTGCTGATGTACTGCATGTCAGTGATTCCACGCCAGTACCAATGCATATGCGCCGCTGCTGATGTATGTCCCAGGTGGTGGCCGATCTTGAGCGACCGGGCGAGTCATTTTGTGCAGCTGTCGGAGGGAAGGGCGGCCGCGGCAATTCTGGTGGTGAGAGGTGCTTTTTGCGTGTTTTGTGTCTGCGCTTGTGTGTCTGCGCTTGTGTGTCTGTGTGTCTGTGTGTCTGTGTCGTGTGTATGCAAATGTTGGTTTCCCCTCCTCCCCCCCTCCACACACACACACACACACACACACACACACACACACACACACACACACACACACACACACACACACACACACACACACTTGTTTGTGTACGAGTGTGTTCACGAGCGTTTATGCCTGCAAGGCTGTTACAGTCGTGTCTCGATCAGCTGTTTGTGGAGATGTGTCTCGATCACCTGCAGCACGCTTCCCGTTTTCCTCATCGCCTGACCAACTGCATCTGTTCTGTCAGGCTTGAAGCACACGCGCTGCGTCTCCTTTGATGACGAGGCGAAACAAGGCACCCCGGGCGAGGAGAAAAGGTGCGCTTCCAGCGTGCGCACACTTGTTATGTGTGTGTGTGTGTGTGTGTGTGTGTGTGTGTGTGTGTGTGTGTGTGTGTGTGTGTGTGTGTGGTGTTTGCTTGTGAATGTGGGCAACCGTACTTGTGCACTGGTGCATGAGGGTCGGTGAATTGCGGACATCACCTGATACGGAGGGCGTACTCCAGGTTTGTGCTGGAGCTCAAGACGTTGGCTGATGTTGGGCTTGTGGGCATGCCCAATGCGGGCAAGTCCACGTTTCTCAACGCCGTATCCAATGCACATCCCCGGGTGAGTGGCCGCGCTGACGCGCTTGCTGGCTCTCCCGCTGGCGTGGCTGGTGCTCTGGCGCTTCCGCTCCACGCTCAGCCTTTCACCATCACGCAACCTTACGCAAACACAAACACATACACACAACACACATGCACACATACACACATGCATACACACATAACACGCGCACATGCACACATACACACATGCTCACCTACGCACATGAAAACACGCACATGCACACACACGCAAACACAGGTTGCGCCGTATCCGTTTACGACGCTGAACCCGCACCTGGGGGTGGTTGACTTTTCAGACTACTGGCGCATGCGCGTTGCCGACATCCCTGGTATTCTGCCTGGTGCTCACGAGAACAAGGGGCTTGGCCACAACTTTCTTCGGCACATTGAGCGCAATGCCGTTCTCCTCTACATCATCGACATCAGGTGTGGGAAGAGAGAGAGTGTGTGTGTGTGTGCGTGTGTGTGAGTGTGAGTGAGTGAGTGAGTGAGTGAGTGAGTGAGAGATGTGAGTGAGTGAGAGAGAGTGAGAGATGTGAGTGATTGAGTGTTTGGGCCTTGGAGAAGAGGAGAGGAAGAGGAAGAGCAGGTGTTTGTGGTTTCTTGTCTTGTGCTGCCGCGAGTACACACACACACACAGTGTATAGGTCTCTTTTTGCCTCTCCCTCTCTCTCTCGCGCACACACACACACGCACACACACACGCACGCACACAGTGTATTGGTCTCTTTTTGCCTCTCTCTCTCTCGCACACACACACACACACACACACACACTCTATATCTGTCTTTAGGTGGTTCTCAGGTTTGATGTTCGCCTGCATCTGTGCGCCTCCCCTTCTACGTCACACACACACACACGCACACACGCACACACTCACGACATTTCTCTCCTCCCTCTGTCTTCTTCAGTGAAAGCCTTGGGTCGCCGCCTGCTGTGGAAGCGTTTGAAACCTTGCGCGAGGAGCTTCGACTGTATAAGGCAGAGCTAGCTGAGCGCCCATTCCTGATTGCGGCAAATAAGGTGGACTGCGAGGGCGCGCAGAGCAACCTGGAGCGGCTTCGAAAGCACATTGGCGCAGACAAAGCGCAGGAGCTCATCGTTCCCATGGCCGCGTCCACGGGCGAAGGCGTCGTTGACGTCACCACCCGCTTGCGGGTCATGGTGGAACAGCTCCAAAAACAACGCAGGCACCGCATGCAGCAGCCAGGACAGCCCGCAAGCAACACCACAACACCACAGCAGCAGCAACAGAAGCAACAGCAACAGCAACAGCAACAGCAACAACAAATAATGCATGATGAGGACAAAGAGGAAGAGGATGCAGACGACGCTGCGTTTCACGCCCAGCTGTTTGCGCCATCCAATAAAAGACAAAAATGACTTTGTGTGCACAAAAAGGCAAAATTGACTTCTGTACACGTGGGTGGTGATAAAAAAGGGTGGCGACAGCGCGCCCAAATTCTCACCCCTCACCACTGCTTGCTTGCTTGATGTGCCTTTTTCTTCTTGCCCTGCCCTCGTGCGAAGTCGTTTTCCTTCTTCCTCACACCATCCACGATGGCTTCCCGCGAGCTCACTGAGCGCGACAGTGAGTTGCCTTATGTGTCTGTGTGTCTGTGTGTCTGTGTGTGTGTCTGTGTGTGTCTGTGTGTGTGCCTGTGTGTGTCTGTGTCTGTCTGTGTGTCTGTCTGTGTGTCTCGGTTGCTTCGTGATGCGATGCGTCTGCGACTGAGCCTTTGCGCACATCTGTGCATCTCATTGTACATGCACCAGCTTCGTGTCATGTCGAGTGCACTCTTGCCTAGATCTGTCGCCCTTTTTTCCCAACATCATGCAACTTGCCTTGCCTCTCCTCTCACAACATGGCACACACTACAACACAACACCACACCTCCCACACACTATCCCATGTGCAGGGCCCGTCTACGACGATGGGCTGGACAACTTCATCCTGGTCGACGGCGTGCCTGTGGCACCAAAGGCCAAGCTGCCGCTCCTGGCCACCGTCCTGACCAAGGTGTTCAAGGAGTTCAAGCCAAAGAAGGTCACCCTCGCCGAGGATCCCGACACTGGCAATGGCGTTGGAGCCGCATACGTCGAGTTCTCCAAGCCACAGGACGCAAAGCAAGCCTGCGAGAAGATGAATAACCACAAGCTCGACAAGAAGCACACCTTCAAGACCTTGCCCCTGTCCAAGTTCAACGAGGTGATGAAGACAGAGGAGGAGGTCGAGTTTGATCTCCCGGAGCCAGGCAACACAGAGGTCAGTCCGTCAATCGACACACGCGTCTCGCGCCAACGCTGCGCGCCCTCCGTGTTTTGTCTGTGTCTCTGTGCCGTGTGTGTCTGTTTTTCCTCTCTACTTAGTGCTTGCTTCTGGCGTTGTCATCCTCGTCGTCGTGCACGTGCACCACGACCCCGTTGGTTGTGGTGCAGCCTGTGTGTTCCTCACACTTCCATCTTGGGTCTCCATCCAACCAACTCGCCCACTCACGCCTTGCCCATGTATTGTGTGCACCGTGTCGCTGGACTGCGCTTGATGTTGCATTGTTTCTGTTGCCTGTTTGCCTCACAGGACAGCCTGTACTCTTGGCTGCTGGAGCCCAACGCGTGCGATCAGTTCCTGCTGCACAGTGGCACTGTCGTTTCTGTGTGCAAGAACCGCGGGCCTCGGCGCACCACCATCGAGTCTCGTGACGTACGTTTCCTCACATGCCGGCGTCAAGCGCTCCTGCAACACATGACCTTTTGTTGCTTTTGTCAACTTCTTCCCCTCCACAAGCTCACACCAGCCCGTCGCCTGTTCCATCCCTCTCTCACTCACTCTCTCTCTCTCTCTCTCACGCAAACACACACACACAGGGTTGGACACAATACACAGCCATGTGGTCTCCCAAGGGAACGTACCTGGCCACCATCCACCAACAGGGTGTTGCCTTGTGGGGTCTGCCCAAGTTTGAACAGATTGGCAAGTTTGCGCACGGCGGTGTTCGCGGCATTGACTTCTCCCCAGACGAGCGCTACCTCATTACATGCTCCATGGCCAACAAGGACAAGACTGTCATTGTCTGGGACGTTGAGACACAAAAAGAGTGCCGCTCCTTTGCCATTGATCTCGAGACGACGCCCTGGCCCGTGTTCAAATGGTCCTATGATGGCAACTACTTTGCGCGAAACGTCGAAAACGCTCTCCTCGTCTACGAAACAAAGGTGTCGTTGATAGATGGTGTTGAGCGCCTCACTATTGCATGGCGCGCGGTGCTTTTCACTTTTTTTGTGCTTGCTGTAGGTGCTGGATCATTGTTCTTGTGTTTGGGTCCCAGTGCGGCATTGTCTCGCCCATCTCGCTCACTCTTACTGTTTCGGTTGCGTTCACCTGCAAAACAGACCTTCACCAAGCTTGGAAAGAAGAACATTGTGATCCGCGACTTGAAGGAGTTTGAGTGGTCGCCCGCTGACAACGTGATTGCGTACTGGACCCCTGGCTCAAAGAGTGTTCCCTACCGTGTCTCCCTCATGAAGATCCCGTCCCGTGATGAACTGGCTTCCAGGAACATGTTCAAAGTGGATGACGTGAGTGCTGACATGTTACGTTGTTCCCACTCGTTTGCGGTGTTGCGTGCGCCGTCTGTGGTCACTGATCTTTCGATGTTCCCGTGCGTGCGTCCAGCCCTCCCAGCGTTTTCACCCTGTGCGAGCGTCGTGTGTGGCACATTGTACATCGCACCTCTTTGCACCTTTTTTTGAGTCGCCTTTTTATGAGTGACGCAACCTGTACTCACTCACCATTGACTTGCTTTGAATGATGCAGTGCACAATGTTCTGGCAGAAGAGCGGGGATCACTTGTGTGTTCGTGTTGCAAAGACCAAGGTTTGTTTTGCTGTCTTGCCTGGAGCGTGCACAAACGCACCACCGCAAAACATGCAGATCATCCTGCCGCACTGCATGATTCGCGTTGTGGTCAGTCAGTGTTTGGTAGCGCTTGCTTGAACGCATATCCAAAACAGCGTCGTCCTCACCCCGTTGCTCCGTGTCGTTGCCGCCGCAGCACAAGAAGGTGTCACACGATTTGGAGATTTTCTTCTTGAGAAAACGTGACGTGCCCTTTGAGCACATTGAGCTGGATTTCGAGGTTGTGGATGTCCAATGGGAGCCCGTCGGTTCCAAGGTGTGTATCATTGCTGCGCGTGTGTGAGTAGCCTCAGTGTATTGCCCGTCTGTGTCTGCACGCCTGTGTGTGGTGGCCTCAGTGTTGTTGTTGTACGCCAGTTTCCTCAGCATTCACATATTATTATTATTTTTGGCTTTGATTTCGCTTCCGCTGCGCTCCTGTTTCCACAACATGCTCACGTATTACTTTGTGCTTGCATGTGTGCAGTTTGCTGTGTTGGTGAAGGAGAACGCGTTCAAGCACCGCGTTGTGTTTTACGACTTTGTTGAGGACAAGATGACGACCATTGGCGAGTTTGACGTGCCTGCAAATACGGAAATCTCCTGGAGCCCTCGTGGCGAGTTCTGCGTCCTCGTGCCTCTTCGTCAGCCAGAATGTAAGTACGCAACGGGAGTTCAAGTGTCCGTTTCGTCCCCTCATCTTCCCCTTCCTGTTCTCCTTGGTGACAAAGACTTTGAGCTGATGACACTTTAATAGGGACAGCTGATTATTTAGATCCGTGCTGATAACACAAATGGGAAATTTATTATCTCTGATCAAATCTTTGTCACACCTCGCATGCGTTCCTTCTCCTTCCATGCCTTTGCATGCTCCTTGCCTTTCTGTTACTGGTCCTTTTTCATGTTGTTCGTTCCCTTCAAACCTACCATCGGGGATCGATGTATCACTGACACTCCCGCTGCGTTGGTTGCGTGTGCTGCGTGTGTTTTTGCAGCCCGCCTCAAGTTCTTGAGGGTAACAGACAACAAGTGCGAGAAGCTGCAGGAGGGTGCCCACGACAACGTGTCCATGGGTACCTGGGATCCCACTGGCCGCTTCTTCGTCAGTGCCGTCACCCGCGCCGGCGCAAACGTACGATGTCTGCGCCATGTGTTGTCACCTGACTTGCTTGCTACCGATGCGTGTGTTTCGAAAGTTTGGTGTCGGACTTACTTGCCTGCCTGTTTGTGTCGACTCTCGCTTGTTGTCGCCTCGTGGTGCCATCAGCTGTTGTACTCACATTGCCGATATTCCCTTGTGCCTTTGTGATATTACCACCTGCGCGTTGTTGTTGTTGTTGTTGTTGTTGTTGTTTCCTTTTGCTCGACAGCTGGATTTTGGATACAAGATGTGGTGGTTCACGGGCTCGCTTGTTGACGAGAGGGAGGAACACGCTGGTCTGTGGTCCTTCCAGTGGCGGCCACGACCTGCGTCGCTGCTGACAGAGGAGGAGGAAGCCGAGGTTAAGAAGACGCTTAAGTCGCACTGGAAGCAGTTTGAGGAGGCCGACAAGCTGTTCTCGCAGCAGTCCTCTGAGGAGGAGCGCGACAGGCGGCGTGCCCTCTACAAGCAGTGGAACGACCTCTACGAGAAGAAGAAGTCCCTCATCCGCAAGTACCAGCACATGCTCGACTCCCGCGAAGGTGCGAAACTGACTTGTGGTTTTTTTTGGGGGGGGGAAGCATGGCTGGAGGATGTCATTGTCGTTGGTGTTTACTGATGTGCTTTACGACCGACCCATCAGCAACAAATCCCCGGCTCACGCATGTGCATGCTGGATTTTCCCATTTCTTTCCCCTTCAACGTAGGTGTTGATGACGTCATTCAAACAGTATCGGACTCCAAACTGGTGCTCGTCAGCCAAGATCGAACGCCGCTTGAAGAGTGATGCTGTGTGTTGTCGTATTAGCTGTCCGCGTCGTTACATGACTCTTTTGCCCCGTGTGTCGTGTTTTTGTTCTGTGTCACGTGTTGTATTGCAAACCGCAACAACTCGCGAGAATGATCTAATTGGCCTCTCGCGTGGATTTTCTTTGCTGCCCGTTGGCACATCAAATACAATTGCCGGCAATGAAAGTATCTGAATTTCATCACGCACACACACACACACACACACACACACACACACACACACACACACACGTGGAACCTGCGCTAGGTAGCTGATGGCTAACTGTCCTGGTTGTCCAAGCGTGCGTTTGTCAGCTTGGCAATGTCCTTCGCGGCCTTGACGACAGACAACAGCTTGCCTGCGTCCCGCATCCTGCTTGTCCCCAACGCCTCATTGTCGTTATCACTGTTGCGGTGCAGTGCTGCGCGCTGCTCCTCAACATGCTCCCAAATGCCCGGCAATTGTTCACTATAGTTTAAGGTGTGTGTGCGTGTGTGAGGACGGCGCGCGCGCGCGTGTGTGTGTGTGTGTGTGTGTGTGTGTGTGTGTGTGTGTGTGTGTGTGTGTGTGTGTGTGTGTGTGTGTGTGTGTGTGTGTGTGTGTGTGTGTGTGTGTGGACGGCGTGTGTGTGGACGGCGTGTGTGAAAGCATGTCACATCGCATGTGCTCCCTCTCCCTCTTTCTCCTTTCTGCCTCCACAACACCCGCCTCCCAGCGCACGCCCATAGCAAGCGGACCTGTTCTCAATCAGCGACAGGCAGGCCGACGTGCCCGCAGACATGATGAGGCGGCCTGATGCACAAATGTCAAGAAGGGTGCGTGAGCAGCGGGACGAGTGTGCACAGAGAGCGTGAGCGATGGTCAGGCGCAGTGCACACACAACAAAGAACAGACACACACACACACCAAACCCAGACACACACACACACCAAACCCATACACACACACACACACACACACACACACACACACACACACACACACCGTCGAGGTTTGTGCCAGCGAGGTCGGCAACAGCGCGGGTGGCGTCCTCCTTCATGGTGAGTGCGCGGATGAAGCGGTTCACGCCCTTCTTCTCGCCCAGCTCAGCACGAATAAAGTGCACAGCCGCCCCAGCAACCTCCATCAGGCGATCCAAGCACGCCGGGTCGTGGGTGACAAAGTAGCGCGCCCAGAGCGAGTCCAGCACGCACCCAGACAGCATTCCTGCCGCAGGATACAGGGCTTCCTCAAAGTCCTTGGCGCTGCTGCCCGTGTTGTCCTTGGCCATGTGTTGCAAGCTGCGCAGCTGGAAGAAATTGTGCGCCGTGTAGGCGTATGGCACCATGCGCTGCTGCAACACGACGTCACGGAAGCCTCGCATATCCAGGGCCGGCAGCTGCCACGCTGTCACGGGCTGTCTCAGCACCTTCTGCTCATCAGGTTGCACCGGAAACATGTTGCGGATGCTCTCCAGGCGCATGGTCCACATGTCACCAAGCGAAGCGTCGCCCTCGGGTGCCTGGAATCCGGCCGCACCCACATAACAGTCGTCCGCATACTGTGTGCGTGTTCAAAGTGGGAGAGGTGAGGAGTGATTGGGAGGGGGGGAGGTAGTAGTGGTAAGTGTCAAAGCACGCACGCATGGGCAAGTTGTTTGTTTGGCCCGTACACGCACACACACACACACACATACATACAAGCATAAACATGCATACACACACGTGCAGATACACACACACCCATACCTACCTGTCGGAGGAAGACGTCGAGGTCTGGGTCGTTCTTGATGAAGAGGGCGCGGAAGAACGTGTCGCACTGTTCTTCGTCGCGTGGCACAAGCCCACTTTGACACACGTCAACCAAGTCTGTGTAGAGCAGCGTGCAGTCGTCAGCGCCGGCAGTCTCCAGCAGGGAAGCCCAGAACACGGCCGATGAAAGGCCGTTGTTGCCGGCGAACATGCCGTGCAGGAGAAAGCCCATGAGCGCGCCCACAACCTTGTCGCCCTCCAAGTTGTGGTCCTCTGCCCTCTTCACCTGCATCATCCACTCGTTGAGCTTGTCTGTGTCGGAGAAGTGCCGCTGGTAGGAGTCCATCCACTTTGCGGTTGCATTCGTCTGCACCCCTGCTGCCTCTTCCAACCCTGGCGGCTTGCTGCCGCTGCTGCAGTCTCTGCTCGTCATCTTCATCGTCAGTCGCGGCGACGACCAGAGGCAGCGAACCTGCCTACTCATGCTGCTGCTGCTGCTGCTGCTGCTGCTGTTAATGCTGCTGCTGCTGCTGCTGTTAATGCTGCTGCTGCTGCTGCTGTTAATGCTGTTAATGCTGTTGATGGCGGCGTTGACTCTTGCAAGCCCATGCCGCAGGGCGTACCGCCCCAGCGCCCCGCCGCCGCCAGCAGCAGCACCACCACCACCCACAAGTCGATGCCACATCCTCGCGCGTTGCTGTGCGTCTGTTTGTTGTTTGGTGGTGTTGCAGCACGTTGTGGTTGTGGCGCTCGCTGTCCTGAAACACGTCAAGCACGAAAAACTCTCTCACGTGTTGCCGCGATTTTGTGTACCTTTTTCCCTTCTGCCCCAAACACGTTCACACACACACACACAGAGCAGGCGAGCAAGGGAGTGCTTGCACGGGGTGGCTGTTCTCCTCGCACTCTTGTTCTTCTTGTTCTCTTCTTGTTCTTCTTGTAACACACCAACCACACACACACACACACACACCACACCGCCAAGCCATACACGCACACAAGCACACCACCACCACCATGGCGCGAAGCGGGCCCAAGGTGATGAGCGCGGAGAAAATCCGCGCAGCTGTGCTTGGAAGGGACCGTAACCCCGTGGCGTATGACGAGGCCGTGGCTGCGTGTCGCAGCGGCTTCCGCGAGGGCGGGCCGCCGCTCATCAAGGCATGGATCCTGCAGCTCACCCGCTGCGTCTCCTGCTTTGGCCAGAAGACACACCACATGATCGACGTCGTGCTGGCGCAAGACCTGTGGGCCGTCGCAGACGCGCGCGAACCCTTGCTAGAGTTCCTCACCGCCCTGGTCTCAAGCTGCTCTCTGTACGGCGAAGCGTGCATGAGCTACCTCATCAAGTACCTCTACCGGCCCTTGCCCGTGAGCCAGGCCGCCAACGTGGAGGCCATCGAGGCTCTGCGCAAGGAGCTCGATATCAAGGTCCTGCACACCCTCTACGAGATTCTCCGCAACACCCCTGGCCAGATTCGCAACTTTGTCCACGTGATCAAGTGCCACGTCCCGCACCAGAGCCACCCAGACTACGTGCACGAGAAGTTTTGCCACAACATCTACGACTTCACCCTCGCCTTCCCGCACATCATCAAGCCCGTGCTGCAGATCATGGTGGCGCAGCTCATCAAGCTCGACGCCGACATCAACGCCGTCATGGCTTTTGCACCATCCCCAGCTACCACGTCCCCGCCACCAGACGCCACAAAGCCTTCGCCACAACAACAACAACAACAGCAACAACCGCAGCAGCAGCAGCTACAGCATCCGCAAAAAGGACAGCCGGGCGTCGCTGCCAGCAGTGGCCCGGCAGCGAAGCAAGCGCAGAGCAGGAGTGGCGACGCTACCACAGCACAAGCAGGCGAGGGCGACGACGAGAAGGAAGCCGAGGAGGAAGAGGATGAGGAGGACACGGGTCCCGGTGCTGTGGAGCGACGAAAGCTGGACACCGTCCTCAGCTACACGCTTGACTTTGTCAACCACAAGCTGTACGAGGAAGGCGGGAATCCGGACGAGCTGTTTGAGATGCTCATGTCCATCTTCGACGAGCAGGTGCTGATGGCCTACCACACCTCGCACGTGCAGTTTATCTGGTTCTACGCGGCCCACTATGGCGAGAACCAGCTTGCCAGGCGCTTTGTGCAGGAGTGCATGGCCAAGCTCG